TACTTTATAGGTCAGCAGGAGCATTTCAGAAACACTGACATGTTCTGTGCAATGATTTGTTTTCAGGTGCAGTTGTATTTCTCCTGTTTACCTGAGGACAAGGTCCCCTACGTGAACAGCCTGGGAGAGAAGTTCAGAATCAAGCAGCTCCTCTACCAACTGCCACCACATGACAATGAGGTGAGAAATATTGTTTGCAGAGTGAAGAACAGCCCATTTCAACTGGTCGTTTTATGTTTAGCAATTCCAATAATGTCGAACACTGTTCCATCTCACAAGACTCTGACACCCCATCCGGGGATTTTTGAACCGCAATCTTGAAGGCAGACAGTGTAGGCACAATGTGACATTTGACTTGATGTCTTTATGATATTTGCTGGCAGCGCGCACCAGCAGAATTCCTGTCATAGCAGTGGTTTTTACGAGGAGCGCTCAGCAGGAGAGAGGGCTGCTGGTTGAAAGAGACTTTATGTGATGCTACCACCGCAGTGGCACCACGGCTCAACTTGGCTGTCTCTCTCCCTTTGTCTTCCATCCTCTTGAATCCACTCTAAACACAGACCTTGTTTGTGTAAACGTCTGCTTTCCCTCTTGTTAGGCCTTTGGGGAACATCAAAAAGACCTATTGTAAAAAATTTGCTTCTCAAACAGGGGCGGTGGGTGGAGATCTGTTGTGGGGTGTAGGAAGGGCAAGCTGGGGTCAACAGTTGCTTTTGTTCACTGCATTCTGGTATTCTCTCTTTCCTTTTTCCAAACTTACCTAAGTTCATAAATTTTATTAGGCACCCACATTCCTCCAACACAATATTTCAGCAGGCATCAAATAAAAGATCAAACCAGTACAAAACTTTTATGCCCCTTTTGAGTCCAGAATGAGAGAACATGGCAAATTCTGGCTTAAGTCTGATGCATCAAATGGTTTTATTAAACATAACTTATCACCTTCTTTTTTCCAGGTTCGTTACTGCCAGTCACTCAGCGAGGAAGAGAAGAAGGAGCTGCAGATGTTCAGTCTCCAGAGGAAAAAGGAAGCACTGGGAAGGGGAGCTGTGAAACTGATGCCTCGCAATGTTCAAAATGGCATTTGTGAGCATGTGAGTCACATTTTCTACATGTTTTATTGATAAGGAAGTTGCTTTGTGATCAAGAATCAAGCCCATACTCATTTAAAACATAACTAATCTTATATACAGTTTCTTGTAACAGCAATTCTCAAGTTTTGACATAGATTCTTCATTGGGTGTAAGTTCAGATTATCAGTGGACTATTTTAACACAAATATGTTCTGTATGTTCAGTGTTCTCCGGTAAGAGACAAATATGCTCTAGTCTCAATGTCTTTGCAGTTTCCAACACACTTCCAGTAATGGCACTGCATTTAACTATCTTTTCTATTATGTGGGGTTATGATGAGTTGCCATCAGCACTCAGTACCTTAAAAGCAGTAATATCACCCTCTGCATTACCTAATTTGTGTGTTTGGGATGGAGCCAATTCCAAACCAAATTTCTACCATCTTAAACAATTCTAATGTAAAAAAAAGAAAATTAATAAAGAATATATAAATATTTCAATTAACATAAAAATGGGATTTAATTAACCCTTTACACTGCATTAATTTTTGCCTTTGGCTTTGCTCTGACTAAGGAAGTTGAAGTACTGTGCAACTGATATGTTAAAATCAGCCTGTTATGCTTTTGACTGCAGTGTGGTGAGAATATGAACGGCGGGGAAATGGGAGTGTTTGCCTCAAGAGCGAGTTCTGGGCTGTGCTGGCACCCAGCATGCTTTGCCTGCTCAACATGCAATGAACTGCTTGTGGATTTGATCTACTTTTACCATGACGGAAAGATTCACTGTGGAAGGCACCATGCTGAGTTACTCAAACCACGCTGCTCGGCCTGCGACGAGGTACAAACACAAGACTGATATTTAGTAAAACATAACTACAAGTCTTTATTCTGTTGGTATCTTCTATTTCTCTCTTTCAATGCATGTTTTTTTTCTTCCTCACCATAGATCATCTTTGCTGATGAATGCACAGAGGCAGAGGGCCGCCATTGGCATATGAAGCACTTCTCCTGTTTTGAATGTGAGATCATTCTTGGAGGGCAGCGTTACATCATGAAGGACGGTAGACCCTACTGTTGTGGCTGCTTTGAATCGCTGTATGCAGAATATTGTGAGGCCTGTGGAGAACACATTGGTGGGACATCGACATAAACATAAATTCACAGATTTACAAAAATCAACATAGTCTACCTTGCTTATGTTTATACTTCCTTCTGTCCAGGTGTTGATCATGCTCAGATGACCTACGATGGACTCCACTGGCACGCCACTGAGAACTGTTTCAGCTGTGGCCAATGCAAGAGTTCTCTCATCGGTTGTCCTTTCCTGCCACACCAGGGTCGCATTTACTGCTCTAAGGCCTGCGCTCTAGGGGAAGACGTCCACGCCTCTGATTCTTCCGACTCCGCCTTCCAGTCAGCGCGTTCACGTGAATCCCGCTGCAGCGTTCGGTTAGGCAAGAGCAGTCGCTCAGCTGACCAATGCAGACAGTCACTCCTCTTCTCCCCCTCTGTCAACTATAAGTTCCCAGGAATTAGTGAAAATGCTGAGGACACCTTGACGAAAATGACTCACTTGAACTTGTCAGATGAGCATTTGTGGAGGGAGCGTGGAGAGGAGACTGAAGTACTGGAAGACCAGGAGGAGGAGTGGGCTGAACATGAAGACTACATGACCCAGTTATTATTAAAATTTGGCGATCATGGAATTTTTCAGCAAACTAGTGACTCTAGACCCACAGATTTCTGGATAGCTGAAATGGACGTTAAATCCAAGCAGGAGTCATCAAAAAAAAAAGGCTTGGTCAGTAAGAAGTACCAGGCCGACATGTACTGGACACAATCACAGGATGGCTTGGGGGACTCTGCGTATGGTAGCCATCCGGGACCAGCGAGCAGCAGGAAAATCCAAGAACTGGAGCTGGATCAGAGTGCTGGAGGAGGTCTACCTGGAGAGGAGCCACAGTGGTACACCAACTCTTTGGAGTGCATCGCAACGGAGTTCAAGAAAACTGATCAGAGCACTCGGGACTCCGTGGAGTCTCTTGCTCTCTCTAATATTACTGGTGAGTAATATTAGAAAATGTTTCGACAGACTCCTGTCTTCATCTTGAAATTGTTTGTAATTGGTTTGTCTCTTCTCCAGGGGCTTCAGTATGTGGTGATTATAAAGCAAGGCCTCAAGTGTATTCTCTCCAGGCTCTTCATGACTATGAGGCAGAGGACTGTGATAAAACCAGCAACATGGGTACCCTCAACTCGTCCATGCTGCATAGAAGTGCAAATTCCCTAAAAAGTCTGGAGGAAGATGTTACAGAAGTAGCAGAAGTCCCATTGCAGGAAAGGCCCAAACCTCATGTGCCTGCCCTGAGAAGGGCACGCTCACAATCTAGGCCCCAGCAAGTCAAGTTCTCAGACGATGTCGTGGACAATGGCCATTATGGCGACCTTCCTTTACGTCAGCCCCCTATGAGTGAACGAACTCGCAGGAGAGTGTACCACTTTGACGACCAGGGGCACAACCTTCAATCTGGCCGCCATAGTCACCACCACAGGAGACGTCGCAGTCGTAAGTCTCGATCTGACAATGCTCTTCATCTGCTACCCAAGGAAAGAGCACCAGTGTGCTACAAGATGGACCATAGAGGCAGTTCGCTTGGACCAACGGGACACCAAGTCTTCCACGGTCACCTGAATCCAGCAGCCATGTCGGACTACAGATTGCAGGGCCCAGATAGGGGAAGGTTCTTAGGATTGTACGGCGATGATGATGACTGGTGTTCAACATGTTCTTCTTCATCTTCTGATTCAGAGGAAGAAGGCTTTTTTCTGGGACAGCCTATACCTCAGGCAAGACCACACAGACATTATTACACTGATGACTTAGCCAGCCCCATTGCAGGCAAGACTGCTCCTCCTTATGACCAGTGGACCAAGTCCAAAAAGAAAAAAGGACGGAAAGGGAAAAATTGTATAATTTCATAGGCCTTGCTGAGCTTTATGTAATGCTGCCACTCACAATTGTTTCTTTAATTAATCATTTAAAGTACAATAGCAGTTTGCTTGCTATATATTGCCTCACCGCACTCACTTTACCTAGGTAGTGGTGTTGGACACTATATGTCTGTGGCATTACAAAACAACCAGTAAAGTATTTTATTGTAATACATATTTATAACACACAATCTAAACAGTGCTAGTGCTTATTTAAAATGCTATTGTGATATATAAACTGCTGAATGGAAAATGAGATTACTATTGATAGTCTTTGTAACAAATAACATAGATCCCAAACTATTGGCAGTTGGTTCGGGATCATTAAATGTGGATTCATGTGGCCTGCGACTCTTCACTTGTGTTGCTTCCAGGCCTGCGTGAGTTCAATTCAAAAGCACTGTGTGTATTACGCTGCTTCAGCAAGGAGTGTGCCGATGGTTTCACTGCATCATAATCATTCAACATATACTGTCATTGTATAAACCGGAAAATAAGGCCATAATTTATAACAGTGATAAAATATGTCTACAAAATGATTTTTGTGCTGTTGCAAGATGTATTAAATCTTATAATGTAAAGAAAAAGGCGACTTGTTTATTTCAAAGGTTATAAATTTGAAACCAAAAGAAGAAACTCAACTTCAATTCAGAATGAGACGAAAACACATTAACACTAAAGGATGCTCACATTGGAAGCAGCAATAAAGTTGTACCCTAGTTATTGAAGTTAATTGCACTTACAGCGGAACAAGCAAAAAAAAAAAAAAAAAAAAAAAAAAAAAAAAACTTCTAAAAATTATTATAATACATCATTAAGAAGTTCTGCTAGGACCTGAATGTTATTTCACCTCAAGTAGTTTTGGTAACATAATTCACGGTACAAATGCAAGTAAAAGTTCAAAGTTGGTATGGATATAATTTGCTAAAAACATTTTGTTTTACATTTGGTTGCTTTTTAACACATCAATACTGTATATACTTCAACATATTATGTTTAGTCATTTACAAAACCTTCCATCTGTAGTATTACGATAAACAGAATGTGAAAAACATGAATAAAAAATTAGTTTTTCTTTAGTCCTCAGATTTCCAGCTCATGTCCACGTGACTTTACATTGTCATTTTTAGCAGTCTGCCATCATCATGTCAGGCTGTCGCGTCCGGCTGCTCCAAGATCTCGTCCAGCTCCACCACGAAAGTTTTAATGGCGTCGAGGCAGCGTTGCCGAATTTCCAACAAGTTCTTGTCCAGCGGAGCTTGCAGCAGACCATCCAAACTGGGCTCCTTGTCCACCAGCATCTTAACAACTGAGCGGAATATTTCACAGTCCTGCCTGTAACTCTGCACATCAAAGAATAAGATTAAGACACACAAAGTTCAATACAGAACAAAAAATAAATAAAATGAAGTCACAATAATGTTAAATCACAATCTATAGTTTATTGTCAAACCCAATATTAAATTAAGGTAAACCTTAGTACGTATCATTACTTTTTGATAAAAATGTCAACAAAAACTTTATTATGATCAATGGGAAATATAATTACAGTATTGCACTTTTAGTGCAATATTTTGCAAATCCACTGAAATTTTGAAAAATGAGACATGTAGATGCAACAATTACAGTATTCCAGAATGTTTTTATATCAAAAGTTCATAATTGCCCAGAATAAAAACAAAAAAGCTCTCTGTAAATTTCTGCACATTTATGAATTATAAATACACATGCATCATTAAAAATGGCTTGATTGATTGATTGAAATGGTTGGTCAGTCAGATGTACTTAGTAAAATATGGGTTGATGGTTCAATGGCTGGGTGAACACAGACGGATGGATAGATGAATGACTAGGTAGATAGTGAATGACTAGGTGGAAATAGCCAGATGGAAAAACAAACGGACAGATGGATGGATAAGACTTCTTCTGTATGGTAAGTGAAGACTGAATGTTTTTTTTTTCCCCCAAAATAGCTTTTCCTTGATATAATTATCCTGACCTGAAAAATGTTTAAATAAAATTTCAGAATCCTCTAGAATGCCAAGAAATCCAGAACAAAACATTGTGGCAAGGCAGAAAGAATTTGTAAACCAGTGCCTCCTGGATGACAGCTGCATTAAAAGAAGGATAGGTATCAAGATTTATCACCAACCAGGCAAAAACGTTAACCTCATAAGTCAGTGCCTCTGTCACACAGCTGCTTAAATTCAATGAACCGCCTCATGTCTAACCACGACCCTAATGATCCCAGGTCTGCTTTATGGATGAATTCTGTGAAACAGGTGTGAATGAGAGTGTATGCGCCAATTCAAAGGCATGTCTGCCCAATAAGAAAAGGAGCGAAAGGTGTCGGTCTGTTTGTAGCATTCTTTCACACTACTTTGCCAAAAGCTTTCACATCCCCCTTAGATTTTACTGCTAACCTAAGATGGTTGTTAAGTTCTTTATACAGAGTTCCAGGTGCAATCTTGCAATGTCTTTATCACCTGGGGATGGAAAGTGAGGTCCTTTATTGAAGCTGACAAGAGTTTTAGGACTACGCCATAAGGCACGAGAGCACTACAGGACCTCTGAGCTTAAATTACCTCTTCATTTAATATTTATTACTCAAACCTTGCCTTGTAAAATGCACCACTCATAATGTGTTTGTTCTGGATTATTTTTCCTTTTGTCATCACCTGCTGATGGCAGTTGGTCTGGTCGAAAACAACAAACCTATCTTACTGCGTCCCGCTCAGAGCGAATCAAATTTTATAAAGGACATTCAAAATAAAGGTCAAAATCTGAGCGGAAGCTCAAAAAGGGAGGGGTCTTTAAACACACAGAGAAGGACAAAGAAACACAAACAATGTGACGTTTGACCTGGAACAATGAGGATGGAAACTGTTCACCACATGACAACCATCTGCTGTGCTTGCAATGTTATAAAACAAAAAGAAATAATAAAGCTTAATTTAAGGTCAGAACAAGTCAGGATGAGTTCTTTGTCATTATTGGAGATAAAAAGAAAAAGCAAGAAACGAATCAAGTCACCAAGAAATCATACAGCAGTTTAATTTTAAACTACTCATAACATGTCCGCAAAGACATTTCCTTTCTCAAGCCACCTTTGATTGCTCGCACATAAACTCCAATAGGCCAGCTTAGTGAATGGATGATGGTTGTTACAGCAGAGGGTTACCCATGCCCACCACGCTCTTCACACATACATGCCAGGTCAGCTCTGTGACCACCTTGCTTGGTGGTTCAGATGCATATAGGCACAGGTTTTACATGCCACACACTTCACTGCACCCTTAGTAAAACATGATGGGTGTATACTTATCAGTATGTGAATTTCTGTAAGCAGAAATGGGGATTATTACTACTTTTTCTGTTCAAAGAAATCCTGTGACACCATGATAATGCGTTATCTTTGATAATGCGTTATCTTTGTGTTGTCCTATGGAGTTGACATACCAGCCAGGTGTAATTTTTTGTGGCGTTATTTAATGACCCTTTGCAAGTATGTCACTTAATCACCCAAGACATCAGAAGAAAAGAATTGGAGTGCTGAATGGAGCGGTTGCAATTATTTTTGCTGATACAGCAAATTTGTCTGTGGAAGAAGCATGCCTACTTGTTGCTCATACAGAGCCTTATTTAGAAAAGTTGGAAATAGCCAGCTTAAGAACCGACCGACACTTTCTGTCGTGTTCATTGGGCTTGTCAAGTCGCAGTTTACCTGAATTCAAGTCACATGATGTACATCACTATGACAAAAACAACACTGACACTTAAACCGAAGTAGACTTAAAAACATACAAAAAAAGTCTAAAGGCTTACCAGTTTTTTATGCACATGATGGGCTACATAATGGAGGAGCATTCTGAACATAGAATAACTGGACACACACCTTCTCCACAACGCAATATTTGATTGCGTCTTACTAATCTTGCCAACTCAAGCAGTATATAAACGTTAATCTTCTTTCCTTATAAAAAATGTTCCCTGCAAATCTGAGAATAAACCGAGGGATACCAGTCCTCATGATGGTTCCTACTTGTTGCCATGTTCCTTCCTCATCAAACGGTATTGCTATGATAAAATTACAACTTTGGTTTCAATCTTTGTTTGCTTGTGCAGCCGACCTCGCCGCACCCTATTTATTTTTAATCCATTTTTACAGTGAAATCAACTGAATAGACCCGATATAAGACTATCAACAGTCTGTTTTTTCATAAGCTTTACAGTAATCAATCCACAGTCCATCATGGCAGAGTGGGCCACTTTCCGAAAGGTCAACATTCTCTGCAACACTAAAGAATATATCGGAAAACACCAATTACTCCCGGTAATATTGGCCGTAGGACAATATTCACTCTACACGAACAACCACACACATTGGGAAAGGCGAATCCAATCAACTCTGACAGAAATATTCCAGACTGTGGGAGATGTTTGGACTCAAATGCATGCTTTTATGTCTGCAGATCATGTTCAGCGATTTTGAGGCCGAGCGTAATGACAGTGTTTAGCCTGACCACAAGGAAGTGGGGCACTCACAACACGTGTGGCCAGCTGAGCTCAGGGTCAGCCTCATTCAGCAGCGCAAGTCAACTCCTCAGTTCTCTCTCAGCAAGAAAAAAGGAATGGCCATTGCGCCATTGCTCATCATCTCTATATCCTCACTGAAATTAAGCACAAGGACGACAAAACCAGTTTCTGGTTTAGAGATGAAAGAGGAAACATATGCAAAGTGGGACACAAACATCTTGTCCCACAAACCAGTATCCCTTTCAAATCACTTCACTGTTGATTGAATGTTTGCCATCTCTCTAAACAAAGTCTTCTCCTTTTATCTCCCAAACTACACTGCTGAGAGCAATTAAATGTCCACTTTATTATTCACCATTACACAGAAAAGCAGTCAAACAACATTGGACTTTTTCACAGGCACATTAAAACTCCATAGTTTTAAACTTTATTTTTATTTTATGACTAAAATTCTTGAAAAGTGCAGCATAGAGTGTGTAGAACCACATTTTTTTTTACCAAATAGTTCAAGCACGGTCAAAGAGGATGCTGAACATCTCAAAATTTTTGACCCACTCTATCGCAGTATCCTTATTGATACTGCCACTTTTCCAGCTTAGGCGGTCATGTCTCGTTAGGTTTGCCGTTGTACCAAAGTTTTTTCGTATTTTATTCTCCAGAACTATAAGGCTAACCTGTCTGCTGTGTGGTGATGGTCTTGGTGATGGCAGTTTTTTTTTTTTTTTTACTCAAGTTCTCAAACAAACTTCTGAGGCTTTAACAAACCACAGTTACAGTGAAATATAATTACATGCAGCTGGTGACGTCTGAAGACACGTCGCACTGGACTTTTAAGAGATGGCGGAGTAAAGGGGTATGAATACAAGAATAGAACCACAGAATAGAAATAAACATTTTTGTCCAGAGGTAGGGAAATTCAAGTTTAGCAAGCAGTGAGCAGAGCATTTGTCAGGCTTATATCTAAAAAAGTTTGAAAAGCATTTACTATTTATCTTCCACTTCACTTCAATTATGGCACACTTTGTGTTGGTCTATTCCACAGAATCCCAACATGACAAAATATGCACGTGTCAGAGGTGTACATACTTTTATGCACATTTCAAAGATTTAACAAACTTTGCTGGACAACAAGTTGGCCCAGAAATTACCGCAGTGAAGGTAATATTGTCACTTTGAGACATTTTTCACTTAATACCAACACTGCAATTGAAAGACAATTGAAGTATTCAATATAAACAATGAAAAACAATAAAAAGGGAATAAGAACCACACACACAGCCAAAAATAATAAAATAGATTATGAGGTCAAAACAAAATTGCCCTTCAAAAAATATCATCAGATTAGAAATGATCAAAATCATTTTTAATTTATCATGTGATTAATTGATAAATTCCTTTAGACCCTCCGACACCCTTTAGGAAGAGAGAAAAATGTTGCACAGTGGTTCTCCTTCATTAATTTCCTCTTGAAACTAAAAACCACAAGCTGATCTTACAGCCTGATAAAACAGGGCCACACAGGACGGGCCCCTAGAGCAACTGGCAAATCTGGGGTCCTGAAAGAAGAATCTTGAAAAGCGGGCTTGTACGCAAATAGGATGTTTGCCGAGGTCCAAATTGTGAACATGCTGTGAGGAGCGTTGCTGGAATACCGCGTGGGGGTTGGGCAGTTCGAGATGCACACATGGGGTCTCGCATGGACTTTTTGGTGAGTTCAAATGAGCAGTGAGGCAGGCAGGGGTCCTGCATAATAAGGGAAGTAGAGTAATGATTTGAGGGCTGGTACGCATTAGGGGATATTAAAAGAGCCATTTTAATCTCTGGCTTCAAACCGGACCTCACAGTGGTCGGCCTAATAGTCCAAATGGACATGTTTCATTTGCACCGGATGAAAGGAGTTTATGGAATAATATTCCCATACTTTGTTTAGGTCATGATTTCTCTTTCACTTGGCAATGCTGTACTAAAGTTAGTCTCTTTAAAAGAAATGAACAAATAAATAAATAAATAAAACACATTGGTGTAGTGTGACACCTTTAATCATTTAACCTTAGCAGGGCTGCAACTAACAGTCATTTTAGTTAAAGATTAGTCGGTTATTATCACAATTAATCAAAATAAATTAGCAAAGTAGAAATGTGATTGTCTTTTTTCTACAATATTATAAATACATTAAAAATGAACCAATAAAAAATTCAATTTCTCATTTAAATGAGAAAATAAACATTTTATTGCCTAAAATGCAGTTATCGATCATTTGTAGCAAAAAATGCATCTGCAGAGAAATACAATACTTTGCCAAAAACATCAAAATATGAGAAGCTCAGTTCTTTCTGATTGATCTATTGACTTTTTTTCCCCTTTGATTAACCGATTAATAACCGGATAGCAAAATATTTTCTTTCAGAGAATTTGAACTGGGGGTATTGAGAAGTTTTTTTTTCTTATTTCATCTTAAATAAATACAAAATCTATATATTTTTGTACAGATTTGACTTTTTTTTCTTTTGCTCTGAATGTGTTATTCTTTCAGTAAATAGCCTTTTTTGTCTTCATGCTTCAGCTAACAATAAATAGATTACTAACGGGTTAATCGTATCAGCCTAGTGAGGATCTTTTGGTCCTGTTCACCTTGACAGCAACCAATAGGAGCGACTCTTTCAAACCAAAGTGAGGAGCCGGTGGTCCAGCTCTGGCCACCACCTGATTCGTCCGTCCACAATAGTAACATCTGTGTGTGTGTGTGTGTGTGTTTCACGACACCTGGGCCAGATGTTACAATAAAGGAGCAGTCAGAGTTTCATTCTCTCACCATGTCTGTGGAGACAGCTGGAAAGGGAAGGGTGAGCATGTGTGCACTAATGCCAAGGGATGCACCACAGTGTGGGTGGGCCACCTGCATCCTGCAGGGCAATTCCTGCCCCGCTTTAACGGGAACAGATAAGTGGTACTGTAGCGTAAAGTGATGAATGAGCGGGAAAAACGTGCAGCTCCGAATAGCACGGCCTCAACAGAACTCCCAATCTGAGGAGCTGAGGACGCTCCTGCTTCCTCGTCAGACTTAACAGAACACTCTTCTCATTTAGGCAATTTTTTTTAAAGCTGTTAAAAATTGTACACCATTTTCTTTTTTACAGTTTATAGTAATTTTCATGAGCACTCTGCACTGCTGGTGAGTTGGCTACAGGCAGGCTGCAAATGTATTCATAATGCAATAAAGATGCATGGGAAAAACATCAAAATGCATCTAAATTAATGCTAGAAAGGAGGATAACGATGTATAAATTTGCCCCCACTAGAGAAATCAAGTAGATAGGGGTCATATTTTGTTGGATTTCATATTTTTTAAATATGACAGGTGAATTACGATGAATTGGATTGCAGCTTTTAACGTCTGGATTTGATAAAAATGTCTTTAAAAGAAATTTAAACTTAAATCTCTATCCGCTGACCATATAATTACGCAAATTGGAATTCTGAAGATAAGTTTCATGGAAATCACTAAATAAAAAAAAATAAAACGCACATTTTTTGAGGTGGTTTTTCTGTTATTGGAAGGAGCATTTTCCAAAACTACAATAGCAACGTATCACACGAGGCACATGATCACAGCTGTTGCCACTGGCAAAAAAGACGAAGAAGAGAACAGGAAGTGGTAGGGGGATTGTGGCGCAGTGTGTTATTTGATGACTTGTTGCGTGAACAAACATCGGCAAAATTTTGCGAACATTTCTTATATAAACACAGCCAAAATACACAATGGTTTTACATCGTGGTGTGAAAATAGTTTGTTTATGGGTTAAAAAAAAAAAAAACACCATTAGAAGGGTGAAAATGGCAACGGAATGCAAGCGGGAATTGGGGAAGAGATTGATTGGAGCTGCGTTTACTGAGACAGCAGTATCATTGTTCACATTCAAGAAAAAGGCAAATCTGAAGCGTAAAAATTAGCATCTGTATTAACTATCAGGCAGATTTGTCCAACATTTCTGGAAAATATTTCGGTTAATGTTTGGTTCTAAACATTTTCCATTCTAAATAAAAAAAAAAATTCAGGTCAGAAGGAGTCAACAGGAATCACAAAGGTTTTGCCACTGTCTGAGTAAATGTTCTTACCTTCTCAATTTCGGCAACTTTAGCCATAATGGCCTCCGACCGACGTGCCTTTAAGTCCTCCTCTGGCGTCAGCTTTGGCTCCGTGCAGGCAGCCGCGACCTCCTCCGTCTCTGCTGCAGATGCTGATGGTTTTTCCTGGCAGGCCAAAGGTCGAGGGTTACAGGAGAGGTCAACCGGTTTAGAAACTGGCTCTGATTTCAAAGCCTTTCAAATAGAGACAAGTCTGCTCTCTTACAGGTGCCAGCATCTTGTTTGCATGTGTCTCTTATTAAGCGGTCTGCACGCCAAAGGAATAGCAAAATCTAGGAATTGCTTTCTGATAATAGCATCCTGACAGATATGAAAATAAGTTATACTTGTATTCAGCAAATAGAAATATCTTTAAACTTTGTACATTAAAAAGATTATTTGGAGTATTATTTAGGGTGACTTTCGGTGCACAAAAAAAAAAAAAAAAAAAAAAAAAAAAAAAAAAAAATGAAGCAAATATGAAAAGACTTCACATCTTTCACAAAGTCAGTGTTTGCATATTCTTATAAATGCTTCTACTTAATATCTCACCTAACTGAGCTGTCTGAATATATATATATATGTATATATATATATATTATATATATATATATATATATATATATATATATATATATATATATATACATATATATATATAATAAGAACATGTTAAAACTTCGATTTTTGCTGAACTAATCAGTAAAGTGACAAAACAAATTTGATAAGTAACAAAATTAAGTCTCTATGTGAGTCATATATAACATTTTAATATCCTCATTGATTGTCATGGTTCAGGCTGAGGACTACAAATAATTTAAAATAATCAAAAACTGTTAGGCATGACTGAAATTAGCTGGTTCTGTTTGACTTGGTAGGATAACGTTAGAAAATTAAAGGAGAATTCTCACTTTTTTTTGCCATAGCTTTATCTGAACTTTAACAAAATATCCAACTCACCCAGAAAAATAAATTTGCATCTGTCACCTCACATTTTTAACAACATGCTTAACTTAGTATAAATAAAAATGTCTCTGTTGAATTTCATAATAACATTCATTACATTTAGTTAACAACAATAAAAAAACTACATTGGGAATATTGTTACTTGACAAAGAAAAGGTGAATAGGTAAAAATCTCTTTGCGATAATCCCTTACAAAGGCAACATTTTTCATTGTTTTATAGGTGAATCAAAATGGATGCGCAACTAAAAAAAAAAAGATTAGATTGGCATTTGTTAACCACAACATACTGTTGAAAATGCTTTCGTACTTGCATATAATGGACAATTTGTGAAAAAGCAGCAAGAAAACCTACAGAACTAATAATCAACATCATGGTAAACGAAGCTATGCAAGTCTGACTCTTCAGAAGAATTAAGAGTGTCCTAAAACTTTTGCACAGCGCCATATAGACTTGTACAGAATACGTGCAAATCAAATATTTTACCTTAGCAGAGAGTGAGCGGTGAGGAGAGCCCTCTCCAGAGCTGCTGGGAGTGTAGCTCTTTGTTGTGTTGGACTTGTCTACGGAGACAAAATCATGAAAGGGCTACAGTTCATAATCATTCTCATATCTCAACAGTAAACACAAAGGTCTGACAAAAATTAGGCAACTACAGTCAGGGTGGCTACAGTGTTCTCTCAATTACTCTTCTCCCTATTAAAACGGAGCCCGGAGGAACATCTTTGTGGGTCGTCGTCTGGAACAAATGTCGCCTTGAAACGCAGCATGTTTCTTCATGTAGGGACTGCAATGCTCATTATGCCTTTTTCTTCCCTCCTTGATCTACATTGTTTGACATTAGCCACAAAACCTCCTTTATCCCTACACAATAATAAAGTCATGGCATGAAGATTAAGCTGCAAATGTCTCTCATCTGTTTTCATTTTTACTCTAATTGTGTGGGTCTCCCAAGTAAAAGAAAAATGATTTTGTGCAATTCAGCTGTTTGGAAATTGTCCCCGTTTGTCCTCATTTGGCCACACCGCTTTCACTTAAAAGAGAACGTAGATAAACGTTGAGCGTTTTGTCATTGTTTGAAACCATGAAAAGTGTTTTATTGTGATTAGAGTGCAGTAATGTTGAGTTTTTCCATGCATAGTTAGAGGCACAAATACCCGTTCACAGGTCAAAGTTTTGCTTCAAACAAACTCTACACCAACATCTTTGAGCTGCTACTTTTGTTCCTTCACAAATTCAGGCGGAAGAACAACCCTTCCATCAGAATAAAAAAAAAAAAAAAAAAAGACAAAGAAATTGAAGATACAATAGGTAGTTTGTTTTGAACACAGTGATATTAATGAGCATGTGACATAGAGACAATACCCTCTGTTACCGGGCAGTTTAAAGATTTGAGTATTCTATTATAATTGTCATTTGTGTTTGGTGGTGGTAACCGTAATCGGTGAAATTTTTCAAACAAAAACCTCCCAGTTGGTCTTTGGTTGTGAATAAATCTTATCAGAAACAATAAATTGCTTCCAAGTGAAGTAGTAATTGCTCCTGGCTCACACATGACTGAACTAAAATCTACAAATTTAAATATGTGTGGTCCTCTCATCTGTTTTGAAGCACACAAATCAAAAAGAAATTAAGTAAAATAACAGACTGAAAGTGATTGTGGAGACACAATTAAGGCTGCGCATTTACTGCTTGCGCGGTGAGGAAAAGGTCACGTTGTGCATCCCATGACAAACCACCCCAATAAACCAAAGGTATCCTTTTTCCCAGCCTTTAACAGAGCCTGTGTGTTTGTGTGTGTCCATGTAATTAACATCCCAAGATGTTACAGCCCACCCTGACCCTTCACATTGCACACCTCCTCTAAAAACAGATGCCTTACCTGGAATGAGTGAATTCCTTTGTTTTAATTGTTTGTGTCCATTTCTGAAACATGGGAACATTTTTGTTCTGCTGCTGCAGCTGCAACAGGAGAATTACTTTCACAGGTTACGTGTCATGTAAAGTGTTACGTGCTGCACTCCTTCTGTAATCTGTTTGTGTTTTAAGTCTTATAGCAGAGTGTCAGATGGTTCAAAGTGGCAGTCTGTTACGAGATGTCATAAAAGCCATTGGTCACCGGGTCAGGCGGTCAAATTCATTAGTGCCGGGGTCCGAGCACAAATTTACAATCAAAGACGAAACACAGCGGAGGAGAGTTCATGATGGGTTCAATCGAGATTAACACCAGCCTGACTCGTGTTTTGGTTCACCAGATAGTTTTCTCTGGCGTAAATTAAATGAGAAAACTAACTCTGTGTGATCTTTAAAACATTTGAGAAATTGCTTAATGAAAACCAAATCAGGGCAACGTGAGGGCTAATCATTTTCAGGAGCGTCACTCATCTGGCCACACTTACGCTTCTGCTGGTATGTGTAGCCTTTGTCCCGGTCGGGAGAGGAGCTCCTTTTGGAGTTGGATCCGGATCGGGTGGGCGGATGGCCTTCCCTCCTTCCAGGTGAGCGCTCCCGAGTGATGACCAGGGATTTAGAGGACCTGTAGTCCTCATAATCCTCCCTAGTGTATAAACATTAAGCAGTGCAGTGAAAATTTGAGCCATTTACATTTGAAGTTCAGGACATTGTTTTTTTTTCATATCAAATATTAAGTGGGAGTAAATTCATGTTACATGTCAAAGTTAGTGTGTACTTGAAAAGCACATATCACAGCAAGGCTTTTATGGAAAGAATAAAGTGAACAAAATGGATTTTGGAGCTAAACCTCCCCCCCCCACAAATCTAATGAGTCATAAATGTACTATTTGCACGTGGGAAGAAAAAAAAATGCATTTTTGGTTTCATCTGACCCGAGCTGCATGATTCTGAAAACTTTTGCAAGGCATTACATAAACAGAGGAAAGCTGAAAGCAAATTAGCAATTTCCCTTCACAAGTGGAAAAAAAATATATATAGCAATTTATCAGTCTTGTTAAGAAAACAGGACTGATAAACTCTGTTGTTCACAACTCGTGAAGGTAGCGACATGTCAGACACCCACCTTGGAGGAGGACCACTCCCTCGACCTCTCTTTCGGAGATTGTGACCTCTGCTCCTGTTCCTGAAATCAGAAAAAAAAAAAAGGAAAAAAAAATAGGTATGAAAAAGACAAGCATTCTGTGTACAATGAGGTTCATCCTACAGGGTTTAGATAAAAATTTGACCCAAAACTTTAAAAAAAAGTAAAAATAGTACCCATGTTTTGCCACCAACAAGTGGGGTTCGACAACACATTGCTCTTGCTAAATAGCATTAGAAAAAGAGTACTTCATTTCTGGTTACTCTATTTCAGTGTTCCCCAATCCTGGTCCTCAAGGCACACTACCCTGCATGTTTTAGGTATTTCCTTGCTTCAATCCAGCTGACTTCAATTGATGACTGATTAACAGGTGTTTGTTGAACTGCAATCAGTTGAATCAGACACATTAAAGCAGGGAAACCTCTAAACCATGTAGGAAAGTGTGCCTTGAGGACCATGGTTAGGAAGCACTGCTCTATTGATTGTCTTGGGAATCTCTTTAGGTAAGATCAAACCAAATTTCCCCATTAATGTTGAAAATTAATGCTGTTTAGATCTGATTAAAATGCCTTTGAGAGGTAAGCAAGCCAAAGTCAACAGATTGGTGGTTAAACCTCCAAACCATACATCAATTTTTATTCAGAAACTCTACAGACACACATGTGTCTGTTTGCCTGGAGAAGAAGCTGTCCAGCTGGTTCTCCTCTCACAGAGGGGTAAAGTGTGGAGTAGGGGGAAGTGAGTGGAGGGGTGTTTGGCTAAGTGAGTAGACACTAGTGCCCTTTGTCCTCTTCTTTGGCCTGGCATGACTCCTATACTGCAACCAGAAGCTGCTAGTATGCACAAGCAGCAAGGAAAGAGGCTCATTGATGGAGTCGTTATAATTGTTGAACCGCTCCAATGCTTTGACAGGGATTTAATTTCTGCAATTAAGAACACTGTCTGTATAAACATTTTTATCTCAATAGTTATTTACAAACCAATTTTTAAAGTAGCAGAATCATATTATTTTCCTTTTAATGGAATGCTAAAGTAAAGTTTGATGCAACTGTATTTATTAATATGCTCCAGGCTTATTGCATGAAAAGAAAAAGTTCACGAATGCTTCTCATGTTCATCATCATAGAACAGAAGTCTCACTCCATCTGGTGGTCAAATTGATGAATTGCAACATAATTGCAGTGTAGGTTCTAATAGCCAGGAGAGTAAAACAATATTACCTTGAGCTTAACTGATGCCTCAAGTCATCTCTGCTGTAACTCTGCTGGGGATATGAGCCTTCCTATGGAACAAGAAACATTTTAACATGACAAAATCTAACCATTAGAAAAATGTAGATAATTTAAGATTTTTAATCGTATTTGAAAACAATTCTGGGTATCTGAAGAACATAAGAAATTCCACAGGGAGAAATGAAGTGGCTGAGAACCATCAGCCACTTCATTAGGTGCATCTGTTCAATTATTTATTAGTCCAAATTGCAAATCAGCTAATGACATGGCAGCAACTACATTCATTTATCTTGCTTATTAATTGCTGAATGATGGTTCATTAAACATTTGTTCCAGTCGATTAGCTAATAACGTCCACTTAGACTTCCTTTTAGAGCTGTAATTTGGCCGCCATCCTTAAGCGGAGACGTTGATCCAAAAACAAAAATGGCGGAGCCATAGTATAACAAGAAGAGAAACGGTGCAAACAGAGTTTGGTTTGGGATGGAAAATGCACTTTATGCAGGTCAGTTTTGAAATCTAAACACTCGACAAGCTCATTAAGTTGCACCTTGATGGCGCTCATTCAGCCAAGATGCCTGGAGAAGCAGCTTCAACTTATTCAAAAATTATTGAATTGCCTCCAAGGTGAGGATACAATATGATAGGAAAAAACAAAACATGATGCCAATTGAGAATGGTTGGTTTTGAGGGCTGTTGACTTCATCGAGCAGTTTAACATTTCTTCATGAGGAATTGCAGGCAGTACTTCTGTATGAATATTTCTCTGTTCATGAAGAAAAGAGTTTAACATATTTTATTTTCATCTTTTGTCTATCCAGCAACCCAAAAGGTTCCTGTTTTTCATAACATGTCTTAAGTTTAATAATGTGAGATTATGCTTTTATGTTTATTTGGTTAGTATTTAATAGTTGACACAAAATAATGTTAAAATGTAATACTTGTTCTTTTTGGGATTTTTTTTTTTTTAATTCAGCATATGAAAGGGAAATCTTTCTATCAAGATGGACAGCCCTCTTGACAGAAGAGAAAACTCAAGCTTTTAAGAAAATGGATGCTTATCAATTAATCAATTGATAACATTGATAGATTTTTGATTAACTCGTTAATTTATAACTTGCAGCCGTAGTCCACATTATCCCAACCCTGTCAAAACCTAGCACAATGTTTTTCCTGAACAAAAAAAAATATGCTTTTGGTTTATACTGATGAACAAGTGAATAAATCTCTAACCATGCATCTCCCTTAAGCCAGCTAGTTTTTGTTGCACCTCACGCCATAATCTTGCGACATTGTCTGTGGGAGTGTTATGTTTTAACAATGTGCTCAAAATGGAGTAAAGGAGGTGAAAAAAAGTTTGATTCAATCAGTAGTGTGTGTTTTATTAGCATGCCTTAAAAAAACCACTACTACTTTCCAACCACAGTCATGTCCTCTGAGTTGACTTACATTTCGATGTGGTGGAGAATTTCTTCGATAGCTGCCATAGTTTAAGTTTTCATCATAGTACTGACTGTCATCAGGTTGATAACCGTCTTCGCTGTGATATCCTCTTCCACTTTGGTAGTTGCGAGGGCCTCCATACCGCTGGTCTTCATATCCTCTGTCAAATTCCAACCCCGGGCGTGGCATAGGGTTCCTCTTGTCAATAATATTGACAACTCGATGAACTATTACCTGAAAGGACCAGGTTTGACATTTTATGGAAATGATTTTAGTACAATGCAGTAACAACCACAATGCTGCATGCCAATAGGCATTGCAAAGCAACCATTTGGCATACCTCTCTCGCATCCGTTGGCGCAAAGCATTCTTCATATGCCTCTCTGATAGATTTTCGACCATGCTGATAAGCCACTACAAAAAACATTGACAGAAAACATAAAATGTACGCCTGTAGTATTTTTAAAGGTTCGAATCAAAAGACAACTGAACAGTGCTTATAAAAAAGAAATGTGTATTCAATTTTTTTTCTTTTTTTAATTACAATCCTCTTCTGTCTCCAAGTTGCTGGATATTTTCTGGAAGCTGTTTTGAAGATGACCTCTATGAGATTTGGATGCAAAAACAAGGAAAATGCTGTTCATTACACTTACTTTCAGGTTAGATTCTCTGCTCTGTGTGCTGATGATGCCTCAGTTGAGAAAAACAAACCTATGAAGAAAGACAATTATTAAAAAAAAAAGAAAAAAGCCAGTTATCACAATCTGGAACATGCAATCACACAAGTCTCAGCTCAGTTCAACACAGCAGGACAGTATGGCTTGTTAATTGTTGATTTCCTTCAGCGAAATGGGTCAACTTTATCCCAGTAGCTAAACTGTACTTTAGTTGAGTCTTCTGCACCAAGAGGCAAATTGTCACCACAGGTGAAAGACCTCAGGTTGGGGTGTTCAGGAACAGAACTACAAATGTTGTACAGCAGCGTGACTGCCAAGCGGCGAGTCCAAATGCTCTGAAGAAATGTTTTATGTTGAGATGTGAGACAGATTATTAGTTTACAATGACGGGAAGCATGAATGAAGAACAAGGCGGTGCTTTCTGACCACAGCTTTTATGATGGTGGCATCATACAACAACTAGAAATTTGGATGCAACTGGTTGTTCTAACAGGAATCAAATATCGCATGTGTATCAAAGCTGATTTTACAGCAGATGACACAGGCTAACTTAACCCGCATTGAATGGCACGAGCTAAAACCTCCACTATGTTGTAGGCTTGGACTACACTTAAAAGCTAAACGCATGCTAAGAGACGAGCTAATTTAAGTGAAGTCTTCCAATTATGATTAAAAGGGTGACAAAATGTAAATACAGAACTGTGAGAAAAGGACATTGACGGCTACAAAAAGCATTCAGCTGCTTGAAGACATTTAACCAAATCTCTGCAGGAGTGTTTAAAGTATAAATGTAAAATTTTAACTTTGATTACATGTTTGCTGCACAATTATTCCCAAAGAAAAAATGGTCCAATTGCTTTACTCACTATTATGACGTGAAGATCCATTATAAAATTATACATGTCTATGTTCTGTTTCATTTGTAAATAGTTTGAGGTTTAAAACCTCTTCGAAAAAGCGAGACACTCTGATGAATGACTGACGAACGTGTTTTAGCATCATTAGCAAAAACATCCCGCTGCAGCAGCACATACGGAAGTCATGTGAAACTCACCGAAGAATGAATCCAGTATGCCCCTTCCGGAGAGGTCTGTCTTACATTGTCCTTTTATCGATCTCTGTTTGGATGCAAAATTAAATTCGTGTTGCTTCTTGCTGATTCTTTCCTCTCTGCTTACAACAGAAAGTACAGTAGGAACACTGCAGAAGCGACACCACAGTTTCCTTGTTTTCTTCTTCGGTGACAAAAATGTTTTGGGGAAAAAAGTGAGCGCCCTCTAGGGGTGTATGTGGCTCACGTTTCACCGGACAACGTCACCAAATGGCATTGTTTCGGACTACAAAGGTAACGTGAATTACGGCAAATAGTTTTTGCGAGCAACAAAAATGCATCAAGAATTGTCTTGACGCAGGCAAAATATATACATATAAACCTATAAGAATAAAATATACTTAGATATAAATCAATTGGTGGTTTAAAACAGAGCAAATGCACAAAACAGCTATAGACTTTCTTTGTAAATGAAAAGTAAGCAGGAAGTCTTTCTGTGCGAATCAGTCACTTATTTATATATCATTACGCATGACAATATTCAAATTAATTTCATTGATATTTTACATTTACCAACAAGTGCATTTTACTTTATGTCGATATTTTATAAACTATAAATCATTTACTGAACTGTGGCACATTTAGCCCTTCATAAGGAGTAAGTTTGATTCTGTCACAGCAAAGGCTCCTTATAATTGACGTCTCGTCTGCTCGGTTTACATTGCTGTTAATTTTACAAAAAGCCTTTTATCAATGTTGTCACATTCATTGCCGTTGTGATTACATCGAATGTGATTGGCTGAACAAGGATCACGTGACCAGCCCACCAGACTGGAGTTTCCACGACAGCTGAAAAGCTGTTAATGCGTGTTTTTCTTTTTTTTTTTTTTTTTTCCTCCCCCACCTGTACCGTTGATTATTTCAAGGGCCCGGTTTTGTAGCATGGGAGACAAGAAGAGTCCCACAAGGTAAAAGCTTCGCTGGTATGTTTCAATAATGACTTTAACGGGCTTTTAGTGAACAGAAAGCACGGTGAATGGATGGAGCGGTGTGGTTCTGAAAGTGTTCATGGCGGCAGACTGCTGCTGCTGCTGCTGCTCGAGTGTGAATGTGTGGCCGCTTTCCGTGCCTCCCTGACCGCTTCAGGCCAGGAAATGGTTTCCCAAACAATTAAGCGCTGTTTCTTTTCCATGTAGCCGTTAGTGTAAAACAAGCGCAGCTGTCGTTGTTAAAATTTCCGCTGCCTGTGAGTGTTTGTTTTTGTTTGTGTCTGAAGGCCGAAGCGGCAGTCCAAGCCGTTCACCGACGATGGGTACTGGGACTGCAGCGTGTGCACGTTTAAGAACAGCGCGGAGGCGTTCAAGTGCTTGATGTGTGATGTCAGGAAGGGAACGTCAACTCGGTGAGTGCAGCAACTTAAACACTGAGAAATCCGCCTTTACGTGGCTCTGATGCGAGAGGGATTTAAATTGGATAACGAAGCACACATTGGTTGTATCTTAGCGCAGCTATTAAGGGTTGGATTGTTATCTTTTGCTAGAAGATTGCTTTTTTTTTCGTGATCATATATACCCTAATCCAGTTTAGCTTTTATTTTGTGGATGCTTTATTTGAAATAAAAACACAGAGCTTTGAGCACTTTTGGTTGAGTAATACATTATACACACTTACAGTTAATAATACATTACACTTTCTTTCAGGTGGCTTATTTATCCACCTGAAAAATCAACCATCCGGATATTGGGATGATTTGAGGCAGTCTTCCATCACCTTAGCGGGCATGGCGACTTTCTGTAGGATAATGTTCCATGCCACAAAGCACAATTGATTCAGAAAGAGTTTGAGGAGGCTTTCACTTGGCGATTAAATTCCCCAAATCTCAAATTTAGTCAAGTGTTTCTGGGCTGGACATTGATCCAATGCTCACCTTACAACTTGCATGGCTTTAAAGAATCAGCTGTTCACATACCGCAGTGCACAACACAGAAAATGCAGTGTATGCCTCTTTGCAAAGAAGGAATCCAAACATTTTTATGCAGGTGATTGTCAAGCTATGTCTGAATCGTCTAAGTGTTAGATGATTGCTGAGGAAGGGAAATGGCTATTGCTACTAAAATTTTCTAGGATAAACATTTTTTTATTTTTTTGAGGAAAGCAAAAGTATACTTTTTTAAAATGAGTGGGGGTTTTCAATAAAACATGCCTACAGCTGTTGTCCCCCCTATATTATTATTATTTATTTATTTTTTTTGTTAATTCTTCTCAGAGTAACACTGAGTGTGTATTAAGTTGATTGTAATTTGTTGATTCCAAGTCCAGCTGGCCAGCTGACTTAAATAGCTTGGCGAGCGTAGCACTAAAGCAGTCTTGGCTCTATTAAAAGTGATGGTTGTTCCCTTAGTTTCTGTGCCATGACTGTTTATGATTATGTCTGGAAACATTTTCAAACATCTGGTTCGTTCTTGTTATCGAGGAAAAAGTCATTGTAAATAGGTTATCCTTAAATGTTCAAAAAACAAATGCAACAGTATCTATTCTAATACAAATCTTTCCTTTAGACCTCTGTTGTTGGCTTAAAGATTTGACAAGCGTAAACTCAGAAACCTTACTTTTTAGCACTGCTTCACTTAATTACCCTCCCGTTGACAGATGGTCTGCTTGGCTTGTTGAATCATAGCTGTTTACTCTTTGAATATGTTCAACTTGACATCTCTTGAACACCTGCACTCCCACGACTCTCTGCTTGGGTAACGGATGATGTTTGTTGTCACAACAACAGACATTGATCATCCCTCTGAAAAAAGTTTTGATTTTATTCCCAACAGAAGAGGAATAAATGTACAGGATGATAGTTCTAATGCTTTTGTTTTCTCATCACCACCTCAACATAACGATTGACATTATATTGGATTGTCTGCAAAAAGGTGGGATAAAAATTTAAAGGAATTGTTTTCGCAAGCGAGCGACACAACATGCAAGCTCTGTTTGCTTTGTGCTACATAGACATGATCAGTAACGTTTCCATTCCTTGTGGAAGTAATAAATTCTGTTGGCCTACAAATTTTCTTTCATTTATTGTAAATTTAGCCAGAAATTAGCATTTGTTAGAACAAACCCTTTACTCTTTGTGGCCTCTGTGAACATAGCGTGTAAACAACCTGTTCCCAGTAGCTACACTTTCAATAATTTGCATAAGAGTTGTTTTTAGAGAAGTGATGTCAGAATGCATTTATTTTATTTCCATACATGTAAGAGCATTGGAAACGATTCAGCTTTGAATGTAAATTATCAGGGAAAACAACTTAATTTACCACTCAACAGAAGGTGAGAGGAATGATTTTTTTTTTTGTTTGTTTATCAAATGAAACAGCTATGGGATAAACTGGAAAAAAAATCATGATTTCTTAAGTTATATTGGCCATTTAAGCACATTATCTATGCACTACACATCAGTGTTTCTGTTCCTCTACATTCTATTGTTTTTGCCTCCAAAACATGTTTAATTTCCCCTCACAAATTTACTACTTGATTAAGGTCTGCGAATTAGCTGGCCTCTCAAGAACATTAATCGTATTGGTCTGGAGCCAAAATGTCATTTGCTTAATGGTGTGTTTCAAGGGCGTTTCCTCCTCAGCATAATGCAGCACGACCCTTTAAAGTATTTCAATTTATTCAAATCTATCTACGAGGGCTAACACTGTACCATAAGAAACAACCAGATAGCATTATAACTGAGCTACCATGTTTTGTGGTGTGAATTGGAAGTTGCCTGACAAACTGTCCAATGTTTTCATGTACCTCTGCTTCAACATACCTGAGTCAGATAATGAGGTCATTAGTTGGACTTTGGAGAACTTGTCTGCACACAGTTGATTGAGGTTTGTTGCAGGACACTGATTTGCGGGCAGGAATGCGCCATAACCAACAACATTTGCTGCCATCACTTAGGAGGCAACTGTTTGGTATATGTTTTCCACAGGATATACTGTGCAGATTTAATTTTCAAAAGGATCTTATTGTTTGTTACACTGAATCAGCAGAAAGCATGTCATGACTGCTGGTTTTCTAACAGTCTTTTACACCTACTGGTAAAGAATTTGCTGTGTATATATCTAATCAAGAAAAACAAAAATTGATTGATCTGATTCGCATTAGTTATTGTATATGGGGAAAAAAAAACTTGGATGTTCACTGATGACAGGTCATGAGAAAAATATTGCAATTTTATTGCATTGTATTTTCTGACATTGTAAATTCTGAAACCTGTAAGGACAAAAAAAAGTTTTCTAAAATTATAAAGTCATTTGTGACAATGCTGGAAGTCCTCATAAAATGGAGAAGGCATATTTCAGCAAATGCGCATTTTTATTTTCTTTATACATTTTCCTAAAGGTTAATGGTTAGTGAAGTGGCAGATTCCAGCTCTTTTCCTGCATCAGAGCGACCTCTATCAGAACGACCTCTCCTGGATGCAGACTTGCTGCAGCCAAATTGCAGTCACTGTCTCAGGCGTGTATTCTGGATCCCATTCAAATCATTCATACAAACTCTTCAGCCAGGACATGCCATTCTAAAGTGGGAAACGAGGCATCTTGAACATAACTTTCCATTTATAACTAAATGGAAAGTTATATTTTTCCCCTGTCCTTTTCAGAAAGCCACGACCCGTTGCTCAGCTTGTTGCACAGCAAGTAAATCAACAGTTTGCATCGCCGACGCATCCCAAAAAGGAGAAGAAAGAAAAATCTGAGAAGGACAAAAGCGACAAAGATACAGCACTGAAAAAGAAAAACCAGAAAAGGATGAGGTAATTATTAAAATATGAAATATGTATTATCCTCTCTAAGCAGTTCTCATTGACCGGTTTGTTTTGCTCCTTCAGCAGGCCCAGGTTAAAGAATGTAGACAGGAGCAGTGCCCAGCACCTGGAGGTCACAGTCGGAGACTTGACTGTAATTATCACAGACTTTAAAGAGAAAGTTAAATCCACATCTTCCTCAGTGAGCGCCGCCTCAGCAGACCAGCACAGCCAAAGTGGCTCAAGCTCCGACAACACTGAGCGAGGAGTCTCCAGGTGCTCCTCGCCCCGCGGGGAGACTTCATCGGTTAACGGAGAGACTCACTAACCCCCACGCACCAGTCAGCGTAACACACTGATCTGCACTCTCCACAGTCTCAGTCAGAGAATAAACTTCAACATGCACATTTTTCCTCATATAAACCTTAGATGTCAGTATGATAGCATCCACTTCCATTTGAGATTTCTCTGCCTTCCCCATGTTTTACCCTGTGTGATTGGTTCCAGGCTATCATGATGAACTGAAAATGGAGCAGTAGCATTAAAACTCAGATGTCTGTGTGTGGCTGTGCCACATTTCTTGGTGCTTCAACAGTGTTACATCAGCGTCACAGGCTGAAGTTGGTCGCTGCACACATTAAATTAGGTCATGGTGGAAATGTGAAGAAACCATCTCAGAAGAAAAGTTTTTTGTTTTGTTGTTCTTTTTTTTTGTTTTTTTTGTTTTTTCTCAACATCATTTGCACTTGTTGCCAATCCTGTGTTCGTAACACATTTTTGCATTATTTTCATATTGGTGTCGTAACACTGTTGGTTACCTGCCTTTTCCAGCACACATTTTATGCCATTGAATGCAATAACTGTTTTACCGTCTAACATCTAAATAAAATTTTACTAAGCAAGCTTGGCCCTCAGTTTGTAGAGACAAGTCTGATTTAATCTATAGAATGGTTTATATTTTAAGAAATTGAATAAAATGAATTGTAGATGTATTAATGTTTCTGTTTTTTTTTTTTTTTTTTAAATGGAAGATTTACAATTACTCGTGATGTCTGGTATTTGCATATGTCCTTGTTCAGCAGTCATCTTCAAGCTTTGCAGTTTACGTTTCATTTCTTCACACCTGTACTTGACAGTTAAAATTCTGCTCAAGTTTTACAATGGATAAGCTCTGTCAATTTGATATAAAGTAATGCCCAATCATAGGTTTTGGGAGGCTTCACAAAATGTGGCATTTAGCTGTGGTATATTCAGGACATGCATAAAAATGGTTGCATTATTTTGTTTTGTTATATCGGAGACAATGTCAGAAGTGTCCTATATGAACTAAAGTAATAAAAATAAATTTAACAAAGGCTAAATGGTTGCTCGACATCTTTTTGGATTTTTTATTTTATTTTAATGATGTTCTCAAGATCCCAGAGCCTACGAGAATGAGCGGCATTGAAGAACAGAATGCCAGGATTGGCGTGACTCTGGGCTTTACAACCAGATTAAGACCAGATGACGGATGCATTCAAGTATGGTCTAAGTTTGCCAATTGGGTTCTATGCTGCTGCCTTTATACACCTATTAAACATTGTTCCCTGGCAAGCAAACCTGGTGAACTTCTGCAACTTAAAACAACTTTAAAACAAACTGGCTTTGTGGGCACATTCCAGACTATGTAGGTCAGTTGCCAATCTTCCAGCTGTTTTATGAATGTTGGTGAATTGATGTCAGTTCTAGGAAAGTCATGCAACCTTCACCTGGAGTTTATATTAAACTGTAAAATTGCTTCATTCAAGAAGAAGTTCTCTATTTGTTCTGACCTGATAACAGACAGGTCAGACCCAGAAACTGGTCCAAAAACCATATTCAGGCAGAAACTTCTAAGCCTGAGGAGTAAAACCAAAAGTTGCAGATATAAGGACACAAAATGAGGCCTTTTTAAGTTTTTATGAATATAATATCTGTGCGGAAACGCCACGTGAAACGGAAGTTAAAATGTACTGTTTACAAGCAGAAAGTTTGGTCCTGACTCTGACATTAGCTCGTCAGTAAAAGGCTAACCTTGTGTACTGTACACACCTTGTGGAGGTCTGTATGTACAAAGGTTGGCACTTGGTGGGCAGAAATCCTTGTGAGCAGGCCGGAACACGTGTAAAAGCGGTGGGCGGAGCGGAAAACTATAAACACCAACTACCGCTCACTTCTACTAGCTATGGCTTAACTGCTATAGGAGCTAGTACCAAACATGGTACCTAGCTAGGATCAGAAAAAAAAATGTTTTGTTTTGCACAAAATAACTGATGCGCAAAATGCGATGCTATCCACACGCTTATCTCCTGTGCACGGTATTTACATTCTTCTCCTTACTGTATGTGTACAGTCAGCTTGCCTCCACCTTGGAGGACAGGGACGAGCGGTCAGGAGGAGGCAGGATATCCGGCAGGAGCAGTCATGACGCCGGGCACACGCTCAGGAAAAGACCAGGACTGTTAGGCCTCCGGGACCGAGAGTGGGGACAGAGCAGGTATCTTTTCGCGAGCCGTGATTTTGTTGTGTGTGTGACAATTAACGTGATTTGTAACAGTGAGCTTTGGATGTTAGTTAATCGTCCTAGTGTTTAGTTATTGACTTAGCTCATTAACTAATAAGATAATGCTTAAAGTTTACAAGTCATACAGGTACATTTTCAGTGATATGTGTTGCCAGTTTGCGTATATATTCTGAAAATGTGTGGTTGTGCATGTTTTATGGTGACACTAGTGCTAACATTGTAATTGACAGCCTTAATGTGACTTTTAACCATCTCATTAACGTGAGCTTAATGCTGGATTTAGCAGGCAACCATCTGTTAATGAACTTTAGAAGATGTTTCAGCAACGATCTGATCTCTAAAAGCTATGTTCAAGAAGTTGATTACTAACTAAAGATAAAAAAAGACCATGTTTTTATTCTGTCAGGTGTAAATCACTGTCAGTCTCTTACTGGAATCCATATTGGAGACTACCTGCTGATGATGTTTGTGGAGTGAACTGCTTATTGGAATCACCTCTTGGGTATGATTTGATTTTGTGAACATCTAAGATTATTAGTGAGTCACGTGTCCTAGTAAATGAGCAGTGTAGTGCATAAAATGAGACATGAAAAGCTGGTTGCGGCATACATTTGTTTTCAGCCTTCCTGAATCAGTAGTTTCTTGAACCTCATGTTGCTACTGTTAATTTTTCAGGTTATGTCTCTACTCTAGGCCTTTGCTTAGTCTTCTTTGCAAAACCAATTAAGCTCACACAGATTAGACGGAGAGTATGTTAGAATGTCAATTTTCAATTTGTCATCCAAATTTTCAGTTTGATTTAGGTTTGGTCTTTGACGGGACCTTTCTAACACAATTTCCTCCAAACCATCCCATTGTAGCTGCGGCTGTGTGTTTAGGGTCGCTTTAAACACACAGCCTCTAAACACAAAGACTCTTCACCTCAGTCTGAAGTGCTTTTCTTTTTTGCCTTTATTTCATAAGCCTGGTTTAGTTTTCTCCTCAACTTTATCACTTGTCCTTTTCCTGTGTTCACTCTTCATGAGGCATTTTGCTCAACAATGTTCTCTCAAAAAACTTCAAAGGCCTACAGGAAACTAAGTGGGATTGCATTGCACACAGGTGTACTCTGTTTACTGGCCACTTATGAAGGGAATGGGTTCAACTTGATTCTTTTTAGGAGTATCAGATGAAAAAGTTTGACATTTTTTAAATTTTCTTTGAAATTTTTAAAACAATATTGCACTTTTTTGTGTTTATATGTTCAATAAAATCTGAAGAAGGTACATTAAAGTGTGTGTTTGAAACGTGACAAAATGTGAAAATGACAAATTGTTGATACAGGCTCTGTTAATCACTCTAGGGCTTTAGGTTTCTCTCAATTTAGTCACTATTTGAATCACTAAACGCAAATTTGAGGTTGTATATGTTCAAGTTCTCACATAAATAGAAAAAAACTACATTGTCCTTAAATTGCTTGTAAATAAATTACTTAATTTTTTATAAGAAGAACTTTTACAACAAATCCATTAACTCTTTCATCACTCCTGGGCGGGTCGTGGCATTAATTAAGCTGAGGGTTTTCGTAATCGTGTTGCTGTAAATGCCTGCTTAATCTTTTCTGCTGTAAAATGACCACGTATGACTGATGTAATCATGTCTTGGCCGTTAGTGAGAAGTTGAGCTCTGCTACAAAAGAACCTAAAAATGACAGAAGTCACCTAGCCGTGGTGGCCTGCGGGGCCAGGCTGGAGGAAACTCTCACCATGCTGAAGTCTGCCGTCCTCTTCAACAGAAAGCCTGTACACGTCCACATCTTCGCCGAGGATGATCTGCATTACGGCTTTAGAAATGCTGTAAGTGTGCGTCCCAACAGCAGGGAAACTTTCAAAGTCCTAAATGTGCCCCAAAAATCTGCAAGACCATCAGGCGGGAGTGCATTTTCAGTGCCTTGATAGGTGTAATTGTTGAAATAAAAAAAAATCTAGAAGACTGTCATCTATCATTGATTTATTGCACCTTGTAATTCTTCCATTTGTGTTTCCTGACAGTTTGGGATTTGCTTTAATGCATTATTGCTCTGTGAATGGGCTTTGGTATTTGCAGCAACACTCAAGCTCAGTTGTCTTATTTCTGGATATTCTTTGCTTCTCCAATGGTTTTATAAAGGCCCTTTTATGTTTAAACTCTAAAACATTTTAAAAACGAGACATTCGAAGGACAGTAACGGACACATTTTTGTTTCCTGTTGTCATCCCTCAAGATGGAAATGTGGCCTGTGGCAATCCGGACAAAGTTTACATTCAACATCTATCCAATCATGTTTCCTGAGGAGAATGCAAGTGAATGGAAAAAGCTCTTTAAGCCTTGTGCCTCTCAGAGGCTGTTTCTGCCGGTAGGTCATCTTCAGGAGTCTTTTTAATCAGAAGATATTCATCAGAAATTCTTTATCTTTTTAGAAATTCTAATATCGTTTCCTGTTTTTTTCTCCCCCCAGCTAATCTTAAAGCAGGTGGATTCTTTGCTCTATGTAGACACAGATATTCTTTTTCTGCGTCCAGTGGAAGACATCTGGGGCCTACTTTCCCAGTTTAACGTGAGCCAATTGGCTGCCATGGCACCGGAGCACGAGGAGCCTCGTATTGGCTGGTACAACCGTTTCGCTCGTCACCCTTACTATGGCAAGACGGGCGTCAACTCCGGGGTCATGCTCATGAACATGACGCGCATCAGGGAAAAATTATTCAAGGTAAAGAGTGCGATACCTGCTGTCGTCTGTAGAAGTATTGATCGGGCATGCTTTATTATTGAAGTATTTATTGGAAGCGTTGGCAGCAGTCGGTTATGCTATTGATTTGTGTTGCTAATTTCTGGCCTCAGATGGTTTGAATAAGGCTAAGTGCTTGATCAATCAGTTAATGACTGAAAAAGTGACATGGATGTTTAATGATATTTTAACAAAATACCATTTCCAGTGGTTGTGCTGCAGTACTCGCATCAGACAGTTGAGGTCACTCTTGTACTTTAGCTTAAAAACCCTTCAGCTTGTATAGGTTTTTCCAAAACAACTTCCTTGATGTAAAAATGACTTAAGAAAATGACCGACTTGCCTGAAAAGCAGATTTGTTGGTTGCTTGACGTAAATTGATATAAATTCTTGGGTTGCTGTTTTTCTTTCTCTTTTTTTTCCTCTCCTCGCTTTAGAATGACATGACAGCTGTGACGCTCCAGTGGGGGGAAATTCTGATGCCTCTTCTTCAGAAGTATAAACTCAATATCACCTGGGGGGACCAGGATCTTCTTAACATCATATTTCATCACAACCCTGGTAGGTGTGACCTTATATTGTATTGTTTATTGTATCGCATATGTTGGAGTTTCTGTTGTTTGTTTTGTAGTTGACTGTTATTAAAGAAGCAAGTTCATGTCTTATTTATGAATTTTTTGTCCGTTCCTCTGCAGAAAGCTTGTACGTGTTTCCCTGCCAGTGGAACTACCGTCCCGACCACTGTATCTATGGCAGCAACTGTCAACAAGCTGAAGAAGAAGGTGTCTTTATTCTCCATGGTAACAGAGGAGTTTATCACAACGACAAGCAGCCTGCTTTCAGAGCCGTCTACGAGGCAATCAAACAGGTAGAAAGACGCCACTATAGTTAAAAAAATCTTGTAATTATGATGGAGCAAAAGAATATCCTGCATAAGGTGAAATGAGTTGAAATCCTCTGTTTTCTTAGAGAGAAATTGCATGCAGTGGCAATTTTTGATATTTCCTGGAGGGCTGTCAAATGCACTCAAAGAAAAAAAAAAACATGTTGGGCTCCAATAAACCCAG